GGGAGGGGTGACGAGATTAACTGACTGGAATAGGATGCGTCGCGGCGCGATACTCGTGATTCAGCCGAACGGATAAAAATCACGCACGAGGAAACCGATGAAACTCGACGGACAGGTCGGGACCATCACGAACCAGGAATCGAGGCGATTCACGGCGAGCCTTCGTTATTTTCAAATAACGTAATTATTACACTGCTGATCTTCACGCAATGTCAAGTTTTTAAGAATATAATTATTAGGTACCAGAAACAGTTCGTCTGGGTTCTTAAACGAAAATATAAACGCAGAGAACGTGTTCATAAAATTATTTTATTTCATTTGATACCAACGACATAAGCATGACTTGCTGGCAATTTCACTCATTAAGCTAGTGAAATACTTAATTGAAATAGAACCTCAATTAATTGCTAACAAGAGAAGCACACGGACCTTTGCCAGTACTTAATAGAAGAATAGTGTTTCAATAGAAAATGGTTTTTCCAAAGAAATATTATAGAAAACACTGCACTTCGGATATTTCATATGTTTTTCTGCATCGCGGCAGTTTGTGCAATTTTAGAATTTCAAATTCTTATAAATGCATAAAAACCTGCAGTCCAGTAATTAGATCTTCCCGGCCGGACGACGATTCTGTGTGACCAGGTCCAAAGTGCCACATTTAGGTCGGACGGGTTGAAGGAAATTGCACGTTCCCGCGGATTGGATAACGCGGTGACAATTGAATAATGCCCTGCGGTGATTAACGGGCCTGTTATCGCGACGACGCGGCTTCGTGTCTTAGAAAAATAGACGTGGCCACGGGGGAAACATGTAATCTACGGCCTACGATCAATGATTCCGTCACAAGAACGTTCTACGTGACTCGAGTGTCCGTTTTGCCACTGGAAAATTTCATTCTTCTTATTTGCGACGCTCAAACGAGAGGAACTAACTTGGAATTCGAACCATTTAAAGATAAATGACTAATGATAAGATGGGCAAACCTTATTTCAGCTGCGACAGACGTGAAATGAGATAATTGGTTTTACATATTCCCTCTACAGTCGTTTCTTCAGTTTAGTATCATCATTCTTTATACTACTTATTCTCGCAACGCGCTGTAAGAATGTAATTGAAACACTTTTCCAGCAAATATTGCAAACAGAGCAAAAAGCGTTTATGGTCATTGACACTTCGACTCAGCGATTTCTGAAACAGCTCACTGGTGCCGAAACGATAATAATTCTACGCTAATCGTTGCGAGTCGATTAGCAGTAAATGGTTTTCGACCGATAAATCTACCCTATAACTACTAAACCCGTTTTTAAATGGACCTTCGAACAAGCGGACAGCAAATTATCGCGACAGTGTCGAGTTCCAATGAATTAACGACCTGTTTCCGACAGGTATATATGCTCGTGTAACAGAAAAATAATATTTTGCAAGCATGTGCGCTGACTCATCCGTAAAACGGGAAGCACCGCGCAAAACAGGAACGCATGTCTGAGGAATACCATGCAAATCGACGGGAATATTATTCGCCCGTCGATAAACGCGACCGAGTATTGTCTTGCTGTCCGAAATGACCCAGTTCTGCCGGCCTCGGGGAGAGAAGTCTCTGGTACGCGTCCATCTACGCGAAGGTCGCCGCTCATCGTGGTCCAGATTGTCGGGTTGCGATGAAAAAATCCTGAAAGCATTCTTTTATCGATTAAAATATTATTTCCTATGCATTCGTGTCTTCTAAATCAAACGTAATCAAGATCGAATCGATAGAATTAGTAGTTTTTGAAGTATTATGAAATAGAGAAAATATTTATACATGTGCAATTTTCGTGATTTATTTCGTTGTCGATGAATCTGATATCAGAGGTTGCTATGCATTTAACCCTTTGTCATATACATAATGTCAAGTATAACTCGCAGTGGAGGTACTGTAGCTGAGTTTAATAAAAATTAATGTTGTTCGTTGCATATAGGTTGAAATAAAAGATTTCTTTGCTAAAAGAATAATATATATATATATATATAATCTTATATATATATATATATAAGAAATTATCGCGTTTTCGCATATTATTAACCCCTTGCCCTGTAATTTATTTCTTGATCGATGCAACTACTTTATCGTTAACCATTTATTAGGAAAATGTCTATGACTACGTTTACTTCAAAGTTTAATGATTAAAAGATTATAGACAATATGATTAAAGATAACTTAAAAAAATGTACATAAAATTTCTTAAATTCAGTTTGAAATCTTCACGAGTATGACACGACATTATTGATGAAGGGGTTAGTAAGATAAATCTAACCTACATAGTCACGAGAAGAGAAACCTATAGAAGAGAATTAAACACCACTTACAATCCACGAAAACATTCACTAATGCTTCTATTCTTTGACTTTCAATTCTCAATTTTTTCCTCTTACTTGCACGGCCTGCATCACCGTGCAGCAGGTGCAACAACTCCCTCCCGAGGAAAAAGTTTCCGCGCTCAGCTGTATGCAAAAAGGATCGATCCTAATTCTTACGTCATTTAGATCCGTGGGTCAGTTAAAGCGTGCAAGCTCGCGCGTGATTCGCGTGACAATGTCGAGCGAGGCTCGCTCGTGATCTTGAAAACGCGAGCAATCAAGCGGATCAACCGGCCCACCGACCCGGCACCGTAATCATCGGACTGCGAATCATTCCGATCTTCCCGAAAGTTGAGCAACTTTCGGTCGTTTCGTTCGTGGCGCTCGTTTTTCTCCTGACATTTCCTTAGGCCGCTTCCGTTTGAACCCTTCTGACCCCGCGTTACTGATCGCTCGTCGCGATTCCCTCGTCGCGATTCCCTCGTCGCTTTGAACGGTGAAATGGACGGCCTGCGCAGAACGGTCAGCCGCGGGAAGTAACATTTACCTGTTCTTTCTTCTTCCAAGATTTATGAGCGCGCATTGTCTCTGGAAGCTCGTAACGCGATTCGGTCCCCGGCAGACCCTCTTCCCGAAGAGCGCTTTCGATGTATTTCGCTGTTTTTATCTTCGATCGTGTTTGCGTTATGTTCTCTTAGCACGATTACTGGCGGCTCGAGAATTTACTGAAGATCCAGTGACGCGTATGCTTGTAATTTGGCGACCGAACGAAACGTAAGAGCAAACTGTTAGAATAAACCTCGATGTTAGTATCTTTCGCAAGAATTTTTAGTTCGCGGAACAATCGCGTATTCCACTGAAATACGGCTGGTCACGGAACAGTGACGACGGATTTATTTTTACATACAACATCTACAGTGCGATAAAAAACGAGTTCGGGATATTACATTGTATCTACAGATTTATAATAGGAAGTGGTAGAAGATATCTAAATAACGTTGGTCTTCAACTGAAGTCTCCTTAAAAAAACCACGGAGTGTACAATACAAAATGAAAATCCAAATTCCTAGGTAGGATTGCTATCCCTAAAGTCTTAAACCTTCTTTCCACCAGTCTGTGTTTAATATATTTAGATTCTCGAAGGGGAGAAAGTCTTGAATCAAATAAAAGACTGGTCCGCTATTAGGGTCCCATATTCAATGGCTCGCGTATAGTAAAGGCCTTCTGAACTTTGCAGCTGGTTCTATAAAAGAAGCCCTTGATCTGGACGTTCCCTTACGCATATGAGAACGCTCCTTATATTCTCGAAGCATTCGGATCTCCGAGAAAACCAGCTGCAACAGATCGCCGGAATGATCTCACGGAAAGACATCACCTGCACGACGGCGTCCGCAACGGTTTGAAGCTCCGCGATGGCCTTAAGGATGCAGGAAGTGTGTTACGTGAAACGGCGTAAATCGTATTCAGAGATGCGTGCACTGATGTCGAGCATTACAAAAGCTCGTGAGTCATAGCAAGATGTAAAAATAGGGTATTACTATACCATACACCGGCGGCTCGTCTTTACAAACGCTGAATCTCTCTTGAAGCATTGCATCCATCCAGTTGCCTGTGAACCCGAGAACTATTTAGAAATCCGACGGGTCTCGATTTACCAAGAGGATATATTTTCGTGTATTAAAACACAAGCTTGCCTATTTACACAGAAACATGAAACAATAACAGGTGTCTCTATCATTCTCCTACAATCAAAATAGCGTACCACTTTCGGCATGAACATTCAAAGCAAATCATACTGAAAACAGAGTTCCATTCTGCTCCACTAAACTAACTACAAAATAATTTCGTCGACTTAACGAGTAAAGTACCAGTAAGAATATCGATTTCGCCTGCAAACACCGCACACGACATGAAGCGCGTCAAAATCGAACCCTAGGTTATTGAACCTTGCCCCACAACCTACAAAACACCGCGAAAAATCAAACTACCAATAAAAAGGGAAACCTCTTATTACACAACATTCTTAGATCCATTCACCTGCAGTGGTTCGATTCCAGCAAACATTAGCGCCGGAGACATTAGAAGAATTAAAAGTGGTTACACAATCACGACCAATTGGCTGCAAAGTATGTAGGCCGGCGGAAGGAAAAAATTGGGGCCGATTACGCGGCGCGTGGATTCGAAAAGAAGTCTTTCCACGTGCCGTGACATCAGCGCGGAAACAATTGCGAAGCCGTGTTGCTTAGCCGATGGGACCCCGTCCGTCTTTGGGCACCGCAATGGCGTAGGATTACGCGACCGTTCGAACCTAATTCAGTGCTGGCGCGGTGGTTGCGTTTCGCAGAACAATGCTCCAAGGTCCGTCGAGCACCGGGACCACCGGGCGCATCCATTTTACTCCGTGCACCTTTATCTAATCGCGGGTCCGCGGAGTCACGCGATAATCGCGCGCGAGTTCGTACGCGCCGCTAATTTACGAGGTGAGGGAAAGAATCGCGCGGGACCATCGATTGGAAACAAGTTTACGTGCGGGTAATTCGCGAGCCGGGAGAGAATGGCACCCCTTATCCGCGAGAAAATCGTTCGGCGCCTTTTGTTTCTAACTTTAATGGACGACAAATGTACCGCGGGCCCATTGTTTAATCGGCTCTCCTCGTTTGCAGATCTTGAGATAAATCGAAATGGGCTACGGGACCGAAATGGACGGCTGCGGCCGGTGTATGAAGTACTCCCTTTTCTTTATTAACTTCGTCATCTTTGTAAGTATTCATAGGACAGAGTGCTCCTTTGATTCCGCGGAGTATTATGTGTATAGTATTTCATTTATCTGGAATGTTTTAAAGAAGTGACTTTAGCCCTGTAAGTCTTGAAGTCTAAAGTAAATGATTTTAGTCTCTTAAGAAATTACTGCAGACTTTCCATATACATGTAATTAATTAAACTTTAACACTAGAACTACCAGAGTCAGAATGACTCTTCGATGCTTTTGTTTCGGAATTATTAATATCTTAAAAGCATTGGATATTCGAAACGATCTTGAAAACAAATAGTTTCACTTGAATACTGTAATGAATGTTTGAAGAAACCTGAAATAATCTATTGTTACAATTTTTATAGGGATTACACATATTAATCGTATTAACTGCTCGGTAGTTGTAGTGTTAATACTAAAATAAAATAAAGATAAGTACTTCCTTGAAAATATTCCAGATAAAGTAAATAATACAGTTACAATATTCCGTTAAAAGAAGTATCACTAGCTTTGATATGGAAATAAGATTAAATGCGTATCTTGATTAGTTCAATAAACGATTGTCAACAAAAATATTAGTAAAGTGAATTCTTCTAGCTCGGCGGAGTGGCCATAGTGGGTCTAGCAGTGTGGGCCCTACTGGAGAAGGTGTCATGGATCGGCGAACTGGTCGGCAACGATCTGTTAACTGGCGCGATCTACGTTCTGTTGGCCGGCGGCATCATCGTCGCGATTATCTCGTTCTTCGGGTGCATCGGCGCGTCGCGGGAAGTCAAGTGCATGCTTCTCACGGTAAAGCCCGCGTTTCGTCGACGGTCGTCGTCGTTGTTCGCGGCGAGGATTCTAAACGACCGAATTCTGAAAACGTTTTCTAGTACTTCATCATCGTGTTCCTGCTGTTCGTGACGATGCTAATTGGCGGGGTCCTCGCGTACGTGTTCCGTGAGAAATTGGTGAGCACGCTGCAGAGGGAAATGTCGAGTTCGATGAGAGTTTACGATAGCCGCAAGACTGTCAGGGATGCATGGGACACGACGCAATCCACGGTGAGCAATGAAACTCTTGGAAAGTTTGAAAACGATCCTCGTGTTCGATGTGCGTACAAGGTTGCGTACAACAGCAACTGCTCTTTGAAAATATTATGGGAGCGCGCTTTCATCAGATGTGCCAACGTTATTGTTCTACAACCAAAGGATCCCCGCGATCTGATTTTTACACTGTCAGAAAATATGATTTCTTTACGAGCGCGAATTACTGTGCAGACGAGATAAAAATGTTCACGTTACAAAATCTAACGACCTGTTTTACACTTTAACGCGCTCGCTATGGCTGGCATCAGTTTCTCAACCGTTTGCCACGAGCCATGCTAGTTTGCTAATAGTCTACTTAGTGCAATAATACCTCTTTAACGCGTCGTGCGTGGCTCACGAAAAATCTTGCTCTCACGTTTCATTGCCTTTGCTACTTGCGGGATGCAGGAGAGTTTGTATTAATTATACTGTGAACGTGTTAAGTCACTTTGACTTGCGTTGCAGCTCCCAATTCAGTTAATCATTTTATATAATGCTGGAAAACGGGAGTTCTATTCCTTTTTAGGTTCGTAAAGGTTGAAAAGATGAGAGTGACAGTTAAAAATGAAGCGAAGCTTTGCGAGTAAAGTTCTCTTTTTCCTTTTTGGGGAATTTAATTATTTAAATTTACCTCCAGCAAAGGCTTAACTAATCCCAATTAACGCGTTTGTGAAATCTTTCCTGGTCTGACTTTAATCGACATTTTCCACTTGAATTTCAGCTCCACTGCTGTGGCGTGAGTGGATGGAGAGACTGGGGAAGTCTGGGCTTGAACGTGCCGCAGAGTTGCTGTCGCGAAATCCAGCCTGGCCAGGTAAAGATTAATTTCCTTAACGAGCTTGTTCTCGCGGACGGAAAAGTTGGCCGATCCGTGCATACGGAATCACAGTAATTAGTGATCAGCCCGTTGCTACGGTCCAACGCAACGATCCTCGCCAGATTCAATTATATTCTCCGAGTCGAGAGAAATGTGTATCTTCTGCCTTCTACCGGAATAATTGCCTCCATCTCCAGTTTGCTCCTTATAATTAATAAGTCGTCGTAATTAATATTTGCGAGTCAAGTCGCTGAATGAAAATTTCTATTCTAGAAATTACATCTAATGCGCGATAGACGTTGCGATTTAATATTATCAACGAGATCTCGCGCAGTGTGAAACTGAAAAAGTAATTTTATGTCTAATCAGAATTTTCTCACTTTTACTAGGACTCTCTAATTGCAAGGAGTTGGCATGCTACATAAGAATTATATTGTACAATTAACTTTAGTTACTGAAGAATTTGGAATTTGGAATGAAATGACGACTTTAGAAAATTAAATTCAATTTACCAAATAGTTACTAAATCGAGTATAGATTAAAATATTACGCGACGTAGCATCGTGGTAACAAGTGATTTATTCGTTAGATAATATTTCTAGAGCTCAAATTAGTGTCAGAGGACATTATCTGTTCAGTTATCTACGGTCGATTCAACAGGTCTCTGCGCTCATACCAACAAACGATAACGGATTAGCATTTCGGATTTACTCTCCTAACGTGCTACCGAAGAATTTGATTGAAACGGTTTCAAAGTAAATTTCGAAATATCGACGACCTATTGATTACATTCAGAAAAGCCTCTGTTTCATCGCGATGTCTCGGTCGGCCTCGGCACTGTTTCGCCTCTCACGCTTTCACCGGTCCGATCGACTTTCCCAAGCCGAATCGTTTCTCATGCGGTTTCTCATCGATCTGTTGCAGCGGTTCAACTGCAACGCTGGACCAGACTCGGTGAATCTCTCGAATGCCTATCTCGAAGGTTGCACCAACAGAACGCAGGCTTACATGCAGAAGCACGCGACAATCATGGGCGGCGCCGGTATTGCAGTCGCGTGTCTGATGGTAGGAAATAACTTTCCCCTTTCGCGTTTCAGCATACAGGTTCCCAGGATTTTCGGCAAATTCAGCCTACGTAGTATCATTTTCTCCATTCTACACGTGTTTCCGATGAACATTGCTAGTCAATATTATTTTGTTAAATCACAATCTTTCTTATTAGATTTATCATTTACCGTGTATTAGCTAATTTGCAGAAATTAGAAATGAAAAAGAAACCTTCTTCCTCTGTTAGGAGCTGTGATACGTTTAAAAGAAGGTCAAACCTGTAGTCAATTTTATTTCATTAAGTCAGTGATACTTTAAATTCATGATAGATTGATTATATTTATAGTTACTGCATTACAATTGAATATTGTCAGAGAAAATACTGGTTTACACTCAGTTTTTTATTCGTAAGCTCAAAATAATTCGATTACTTATTTAAGAAATAATAAGCTTGGTATTTTCAATGCAAAAATTCGAATGATCTGCCATGTAGGTATCGAGAAATAATTAGTACGTTAAATATATATTCTAATTGGCAACGATTTGATTGCAGTTCTTCGGCATGATATTCTCGTGCGCGCTCTTCAAGATGATAGAATGATGAGAGGGTGATGTGGTCTAAAGATGCCCCGGTACTCCGTGGCAAAGCTAATGAAGACCAAGTGGATGTCAACCGTCCTCGAGCGACTCACACGAATTCATAATCAACGTCATCATCGTCATTGAGTGTACCTAGCTGAAGTACGAAAATCAAAATGCATCTCCACGCGCATCTACTCTTTCAATGTACAGTCCTCATCGTTTTGTTACGTTTAGCATTACTCGATGTACCTTTATTTACCGACTTTATATCTTTCTGTAATTTATAGAGATGTACGATACAAGCGTTTCTTGTTTAAGTGTACAATGTATTATATATAACTATTATGGTTAACACATTGTGTACCTTCCGCGCGAAATAAATATAACGTGTACGAAGTAACCCAACATCTTCTCGAGTGTCCGTTCTTTAGTCTATTAATAACTCTCAATCAATCATTGTCGTCTACATTTGCCAATGCTGCAGATGATCGTATCAAAGAAGCAACCAGTCATCTCTTACTTATAGCTAAGCTATTAATACATTCTAGATTGTCTTTATACTTCCATTCATCAAATAATTAATCTATTTCTTTCCTTTGATTCAATGGGAACCCGTTACGAACGGAATTTCTCTTGAATAAAAGGTGCTCCTGAATTTCTCAGATCGAAATCGATATTTTTAATATTTACGCGACTCTCGTTCGTCCTCGTTGTATCCATTATTCATACCTCCAGGGTTAGAAACTTCCGAAATGCATCATTCTCAGACCTAGCAGAGAGAGGAGAGGATCGGGCTTTCTATCTTTATTCACGGATTCGTTCAGTTTCCCCGTGTTTTAATTCAATTCGCCCGCAGCTTCCAACAGGCAACAGGAAGTCAATCAAGTTGCGTTTCTCATAAAGGTTTGTGCAGCGCTGACAGATATTCGATCGCAATGGTCTTTAATTTCGTTAGGAAAACGCGACGGAGTAGGGACACGCTCCCTGGACTATTCCCCATGGAAAATCCTGCTCGAGCGACCCTCCTGCGTCCACGATAGTCTGTCTGCCCGGAAAGCTTCGCTTTAACGATTTATTGTTACCCGTTTCTGTTGCTCATTCATGGCTGTCACACGCGAATATGCAGATACGATGAAATAGACAGGGCAACAGGCGTTGACAAGAAAATTATTACGTAGAAAACTATGTTGTGGATTCTTGGATTTTTAGAAATCCAATAAATACAACTTTAAAATTACATACAATTCATTCCTGTTTAGTTCGAAGTTGTTACTTTTAGAAATAGTAGCTAACGTTTTGGATCTCCTCTTTTTACAGATTAATATAATTACTCGATGCTACCCGAATTCAAAAAGTTAAGAAATACATTTCCCTTTGCGTTATTATTAATTGACAGTGTGATTCGAAGTTTTTGTTGGTTGCCTAAATGCTTCTACAAAATGGTGGTCATTAATGTCGCCGTTCTAACTGTTCGACAACGGCTCGCGGTGGCATTCTTATTATTTGTTCTTTCTTCGGCGTTGTCTCGTATTCCGTTTGAAACGGACAAAACAGAAACGAGGAGGAGAAAAAACAGCAACAAAAGTCGAGAAATGTGGCCACAATCTTCGGTAATGAGAGGGCGTATATAGCTTTTGTTTCGGGAACAGTCAGCGCAGTGTTCGAGCTTCCGATACAAAGACAGGATGGACCAATCCGGGCCGTATAGAGACAACGGTGCGCGTCGATATTCCAGACGGTCATTGATAGTACAGCGGAAGCAAGAAATATTTGCCGATGCTATCCGGTGGTCCCTTTCTTCGATCAAATTCCGGAGCAAGGAATCAGAACGAAAACATCAATGAACAGAAAAGTGTAATTTAGTGATCTGCTCCTGAAAGTAATAAATTCGACGTCGTAAAATGTTTCACATAAACTTTCGAAATATTTAGATACCAGCCACAATGTTGATAGTAATTTAAAAATAAACATTCGTGCTTTGGAACTTATGGTTTGATAAATTAATATGAAATATTTCGTATTTTGTCGTTTATACGGCGATTATATTGTAAATTTATTTCATTGTGTTAAATAAGGATGAAGTTGTTATACTGTGCTATTTAATATTCCATGTATTTTGAATGAAGTATTTAGCGATAACTTTGCCATTGTATCGCTGCACGAAATAATATTCGCGAAACACATCACGGAATATACATACGTTGAACGATTGTCTGATGTCCTAACTACAGTTTATCGTTTCAAACTTCGTGAGTCAAACAACGACCCCAGCTATATGTTTGCCCACGGCTTATTCACCCCTTTGTCGTCAGGCTGCGCGCCTCCTTGCATTAAAGCGCGACGGGTTCCAGTAATTCAGGCGCCTCGCCAAAATAAACCTTCGTCGCACTCTATCAGCTTCGTTTTTATTTTCCGTTTAATTATCGAGCGACGGTACAGTCCTGCGCGAAACTGTTCATCGATAACGAACGTTCGAATCGGGATTTCATGAAAATCGCGAGTTAATCATGTATTTATTAGTTTTACAATAACAGCGACAACTTTAATTGTGCCTTCCTTAACAACGAACGAAAGTCACTTTGAAATGGTAATAATTTAAAGAGAAAGTTTGAGGCTTATTCAAATTTTATATGTTGAAGAAGAGAAACCATCTTGTCTGATAAAGACTGTCTCATTCTACTGTATAATACATGAGTTAGTAATATGTCATTCGGTCTTATATTATTTATTGAATTTCGTCTATTTATTTCGCGTTTATTTATTGAACATTCACGTATTACTTATCGACGAGAATTATTTATTCAGGGAAACATTTTAATTACGGAACCGTCAATTTTCAATACAAGCAAATGTAAAATTAATCTGGCTATTTTTCAAACGATTAAAAGCCTCCAGACTGTAATTAAAATTTTTCATTTCAATGAAAGTTTACCCTTTCCAGAGTATATTCATCATTCTATGAACAATGCGTTCGATCCACGTCATACCGACATGCTCTAAAAGATTCAGGAGACCACATGTGTAAGGTGGTTCCTGCCAAATTTTCCACCCCTCGAGGGCAAGCCGTACAGTCACCGTCGAAATTTCCTGCGCTCCAGAAGTCCTGTACAACACACCCAAACATTTCCCTACCACCTAGCACAAAATGTCCTTCTCCCTTCAAGATATCATTGAATTACATCATTTATCCAAACATAATATCAAATAGAACATACAAAGTTACCATTCTTATTCCACTACTTCCCTCCAATTAACTGAAACAATTCCAAGTACTCACTTGATTCGATATAGAAAAATTACAAAGTTCAACGTTTACTATCAAATTTCATACAATACATCACTACGTGAAATATCCGAATAAAACACTTGTAAAAAACCGTTAGTTTCAAAATCATGCCCGTATCAGATCAGAAAACGTTGAATATTTCCAGTGAAAATCTTCCAGTGCAAAGGGTTAATATTCAGCCTACTGCGAATACTTTAACGCGTCCGATAATTATCCGATTGACAATTTTCCATCCAGGCCGCTCGTATTCGCGTTCGCTGGGTTCCGCGGTGTGTGTCACCGGTTCCGCGTGTCTCTAGCGGCCTTCCTTCCCTTTCGGTTTATTCACCCCAGCGTGCGTCACCCCGACGTGCGTCTTTGCGTCGAGGCGTGACTGGCTGCCATTCGAAAGGCGATTCGACGAGTCGTGCGTGCCGCACGATCCCACCGCGGCCGTGCGTTATCCGAGTTTCCCTCATTTGCTTCCGAACCATCAATCCTCCCGGCCGCCCGTAACAGTTGGACACTAGCCAAACTGGGCAAACAGACTGTCGCTGTTTGAATTTTAAATCGCATTTAAAATCGAACGTGTCCCCTCGCGTTCCGAAACACGACGTTCCACGACACGGGGACACCGATCGTATTTGTCCAATACGCGGAGACACTTGTGGAGAACTCGGTCTCAGATATCGAAACTCGAAGACACGTATCCACGAAACGCATACAGATTTTCACGTGGACGTCCTAGGTGTACCGAGTGGTTCTTAGGGTTACCCTTTACCCCTGTCGACGAGTAAGGCGCGAAGGGAGGGTGAAACCTTTGTAAAGAGCCTCCTAAACGAATCCTTCAAAGGGAGTACCACTGAATAGAATTTCTCGTTTGAAGAGCTTTAGTTTTTAACTGCTCGCGTGAGAGTATCCTCACTGCCTCTTAATTACTGTTCCTGCCCCTGTGGGGTGGAATCTGTACCAGTAACGTCGAGCGATACCTCTACTATCGTTCATACAAAGACCAATATTTTCTTTCGCGAAACGAAAACTCATACACTAGTCCATAACAGCGAGTACAATTAGTCCAAATAGTAAATGGTAATTCAGTCATTCAAACAACCTATTTAATCCCAGTATCTCAACAACCTTTTTATTTGAAACGGCTACCATCAAAACACTTGCGAGACAAAATAATAAAATTGCACCCCTTAGTGTCCATCGGTTCCCTAAACTTCCTCAAGCATTTTCCTCCGACATTATTCCCACATAATACCTCAAGTCTCAATGTCAAGGTACACGGACGCTTAATCCCCGACGATTTTTCACGCAGCTCGGAGACACCATGATAATCCCGTCCGTGCACGCGTGCGTATGCGTGCGCGCACAGGATGCTCGGCCGTGACTATTCTCCCCGTCGAATAAGCCCGGCGTACGCGCGGGCCGTGAGCCATTCCCGCGCGTCGCCACAAAGGGCCCCTCGGACAATGACGAATGAATCGCAACACACCATCGGGGATAATGCCACTCGTCCCGATCTCCACCGCCTATAGCGCGCACGGTCCGCTTCCCTCCATTCTTTTCACCCTTCCCCCGCGTATCTTGGCACACGCGATCCTACTTCGGGAAAAACTGAACCACGTCTTCGCTATTCACCCGCGAACGCGCCCCGCCCGCGAAAGTGTCTCTCTTTTCTGTCGCTGGCTGTGTACCCGGCACTCTTATCCGACGCAATATTACCTTTTTCAACCGGGCGCTGCCCGTGGAAACGCGGCGCACACATTCGCCGCGGTTCCACAAACAGGCGGTCCCGAACGCGCGATCTAACGCGACGCGCGTAAAAAGTTTGCGGAGTAACTCGAGAGGAAACTGTGCTACCTTTCGGAAGCAGCTGAGCGATTCTTGGAAGCTGAATCAATGGTTTTTGTCGTAGCAATGAAATGGATGCGCTGTGGAGATGCGTAT